CCAAATATCCTTTCCAATATACATATAAAATTGCATCTATATTTTAAATTTTTATTTATTGTTATTATTGTTGCTGTGATTTTTGTTGGTTCTTAGATAGGGTCTCTTTGTAGTTCCAACTGGCCTGGAACTTACTATGTAGACCAGGCTGTAGCCTCAAGTTCCGAGATTTGCCTGCCTCTGCCTCCTGAGTACTGGGATTAAAGGCCAGTGCACCACCAGACCCAGTTCACATCTATGTTTTTAGAATTCAACTTAAGAACGAATTATCTCATCTTTTTAATTTCCTTAACAATTAGCATTCCTCTACTACAAAAGAATTTATTTATTACATAACAGAATTTTAGAGCTGGTATATATTTAACTTCACCCCCTCTTCAACTACTGTTTTAGGTTAAACACAAGATTATTTTCAAGTTGCCTTTTCCTACTCTTAAACTCAGTCATACCTACAAAGGCTAGTAGAGTCCTTACCCTGAACTCTTTTAAAATATTAAGATACTTCATTTTTTGCACTATAACTCCATTCATTCTTTAACATAGTCAGCATCTTGTTTCACCAGTTAGTTGCTCCATCTAGTGGCAGAAAACCATTTTAGAGAATGTATTTTGTAATCACCATCCCACTTTCATCATTATCAACCCTGCCACACCTCAAGGATTTTCAAGGAAAGTTTAAGAACAGATTCTTGATTGAAAGCACCTTTCAAACCTTGACCCATACCTCCACCCTATATACCTAGGACATAAAATCTCTGAGCCTTAGTTTCCCCCATATGTAAATGTACTAGCATCAGGGGATATATAAATGTACATAAGGCATTCAGTTAAGTATCAGGAACCAGTCAACAGAGAGAGGGTAAGAAAAAACTATTATCTCCCACCCCTGACTCCTAATACCACTGTCCTACACAATGACGTCAAGCTAATCCTCCAATGCTTTCATCACCTACTTCCTTTTCCTTCAGTCACCTGCCCAATGAAATGCCACTCCCTAAGTCTTTCCCAACATGATCTTTCCTGACTTCCAGGGGAGCAGCCACCCTAAATCAAGTCAGCCCTTCAGTCTCTAACATGAGTCACGCATAATTAGTTGCTCTTTTGTTCTCTGCCCCAACAGAAAATGACACTTCATTGCCGTCTTCCTCTGAATCTTACTGGATCTTCCAAGTCATATTTAAGATACTAACTCTGCAAACCTTAGATTGGCTACAAGAACAATAATCATTCCTTTAGAATTCCAGGCATATTTACTACCCCCTCCCCTCCCAGACTTTTTCAATTATTTTATGTGAACTAGAACACGGATTTTAGAAGCTTTAAGAAACCTCAGGTATTATCCATTTAAATACACACGCATCCCTAAACAGAATTTCTAAAAGTAGAGCAGAAAATTAAACACAGCCCAACACATTATTTGTTTTTATAAAATGAATGAACAAATTAAAAACAAAGATGCTTATTACAGAATCCAAAGGCTGAAGCACTTTATTTAAAAAGTTAACACATTAAAGCAAAAACTTCCAACATTTTTATGCTAACAAAAAGCCAGAAAATGTTTTAACGCCACAAATTTCTTTTCTGTTTACATTTTCAGAGAACAAGAACTTTGATACAGAAGAAATCTTTGAACATTAAAAAAATGCCACAGCCATGTAAAAAATACACTAAAAGTTCTCACTCAAATACCAGCCCACTCTAAGTGTATAGAAATGCACACTATACATAACATGGAACAAAAGATTTTAATCTCTGCTGAGTCACTATGTCTGTGATCTTAAGCTCCCAAACCTCAATTTCTTACCTAGAGGATGAAGATAAAACCAGCACTCGCTCAAGTCTTCTGAGAACTGAAGAATTTACTAACATGAAGGCTCCACTGCAAACTAAAATGTGATAGGTTTCACTCACAGATGCACACACACACACCTAATAATGTCTGACAGCTACTCTGTGGTCTTTTTAATTTTCCTTTTCCTTCTGAAGAAGGGCCATATTTTGTTTTTTTCCTATGCTGTTCCAGGTCCCTCTTTTTGAATCTGCAGAAATGACATACTCATTCTTGGTCACGGTCACAGGGTTTAACAGTCTAAGTTTGACTTTAGACTACTTACTGTTAATACACCTTTTAAAGCAACAAACCCAGTTTGCTCCTAAGGAGCTAATGGCTTCTCATCTTGTAAAGGTAGGAGCATGTGTACATAAAATGGCATTTATAGGTGGCTGAACAGCATTCCAGTCTATTGCTCAGGTCTGTTTGCCTTGGTACCCACAATCCTTGGACCATAATGGTTTCAGTCTTATCCTATTTACACACCATCAATATATAAGTACACATGGCCTTTACAACAAACTTATCAGAGCTTGCATAAATTTGCCAAATTCAAGTTTAGAGTTTAAGACTTAACAAGTCAATGGAGTCTTATTTAACAACAGCCTACACAGAATTCCTCATCTATGCAAGAGACCTCTTCACAACCTCTAGAACATCCAGTGGGGAAACCATTTGCTCTCTGGGCAACACAAGTAGATACCAAAAACACAGGGAGTATGTACTGAAAGGTGCTAGAGAACTGAACTGAAAGATCCAAGCTTCTTTCTGTGGCTCTGGACTTACTATAATCCAACAAGTAGTGACAGCATTCTTTAAATTTTCATATGACAGATGAGAAAAAAAAAATCTGTTACCTAGAATCTAAACTACTTTCATAAGAACATAAATTTTTTTTTGGAAGCAATTATTTGTTTCTTTCAGAAATATGGTTAAAATAACCATTTTTTTTAAATAAAACCTTATAACTTCCAAGTACATGGGAAAAATTTTTTCAAAAGTTTAAGACTAAATAAAATAATTAGAAACATTTGTTTCAAACATCCTGGCTACCCTCTCCTCACTCCCAATCAGAATATAAATTATTCACCATAAATGTGTCCCCTAGATATCTGATCTCAAAGAGATACTTCCATTTTTAGCACTAAGTACACATCTTACTGCTTTGTCTCAAAGATTGGTCAAAATACCTAACGACCCTTAGTAATATTTGTAAAAACCTGCTGGATCTGGAGGAAGAAATGCTCAGCATGTCACCTGCAGTAAGGGCAGTAAGAGCAGAGGATTCTGGTAATAATTATGACAGGACAACATAACAGGAAAGATGGTACCCACCAGTGGGAACATGCACACCTGGGAAATATCTATCTGGACTGCTAGGCAGTTGCCCACAGACCTGAGATGTCTGTTGAGACTATCCCCACTTAGTCTAAGCACTGTGATCTCTTCCCAGGTACTACTGGCTGCCTTGGAGAATTAGCTCTGTTCACAGTCAAGACACTTTCTGGCTCTGCTGTCCAGAAATGATGTCCCCCTATCATTGACTACAGGCAGTAGCAGACCTGGTGATCAAGCAGACATCTTCAAAAACTTTCTAGGGTTCTCTCTATGCTTTGAACTCTTAAGAAACACCAAGATGCTTTGACCATAAAAATCTGAAGCTTCTTCAGCATCAGCAGTACTTTTACTGCCCCAGAAAAACAAGGTTTCTCACTCACACATGACTTAAGACCATCTCCCAGGTGCCTACCATTTCCACAGTCCTTGAGCTAATACAACACTTCAGGTACCAGCTGATGACTTCCCATGCCATAACCCCAAACAGATCTGATGTCAAGCCTATTTCTGGTTATTCACATAACCAAAACGAGTCCTAAGAGTCTCTGTCACTCACAGTACTGTCATACCACACCTACCAGTGAACAGTATGTCCTTAGAAGCTGTTCTGACTTAGGTACCCATGAGCCTAGCCTTTCAATACTACTGCTCTATAGGATCATTTTTAACAGTGAGGCCTGCTCTCCAGTTACTTGGATATAATCATTCAAGCAGGTGGTTTCCATCATCTGTGTTATACTACCACTGCTATTCATATAGGCTAAACAACTCAGGTATGTTTAGGAGGTAAGTTTGCTACAAAGAGCTCTCCACCAAAATTCTGCCTATTCTCTCAAACTTTAGGCCATGGCCAGTCATAATCCCCTCAGAGGCATCAGACAGTAACCTTGGGCTAACTCCTCCTTAAACTCCAACAGGACTATGAACTCTGGGCAAAACTGGTTCAGTGCTAAAACTGGAAACTGCTTTATGAGTCAACCACTAAGTCAAGGACTGTTTATTGAAGAAATGTCACAAGAAAAAAAGCAACAACAAAAGTAGCTGGCCTGGCTCACTACCAACCAAGTCACCCACTGGCACAGAAGACAATAGTAAAGCAAAGCAACTAGCATGCACAGAAGAGCTAGGTGAGACCAGAGGGACAGATGCAAGGGTGTTATTCCAGTCATCCCACAACAGAGACAGCCACAGCCAGGGAATTACTTAGGAAGCAGCAAAATTTATTCCTGTAAACAAACTCCTACACAGGGGTTTAAATTTTCTCTAGAATGGCAATTCATCAGGGCTCTAGTCAAATAAGCAAATGAATAAACAACAAAGCTATAAAACCAGAGTTTCACTGATTTGTTTTTATTTTTGCTTCTTTAAATAACAGCAACTTTTAATAAAACTAACACAGTAAAACCAGATCTGTAACAGTTATCAAAAGAAAGACGAAAGGAATGGCACAAAATAATCTGAGAAAGCAAAGGTTATTGAAATCCTGGTACAAGAAGACTATTAAAAACACAAACAACTGGCCAGGTGTCATGGAACATGCTGATAATTCTACCACTCGGACGGCAGAGGCCAGCCTGGTCTATCAAGTGAATTCCAGGCCAGTGAGATTTTGTCTAAACATCCTCCCCCCCAAAGAAAAACTCCACAAAGCCAGTGAGAGGGCTCAGCAGGTAAAGACACTTACCACCAAGGCTAAGTTTTATCCCAGAGACCCATAGGGTAGAAGGAAAGAATTGAGTTGTTCTCTGACCTCTACTCCATGTGTGTGCACTTGGTGGCACACACATAATATATAAAGAAAATGTAATTAACAACTCCTTCAATTCCATACCTTATCGATGGCTTTTCCAACTCGAGAAACACTGCTATGGATATCTTTGTGGTCTGAGGCCAATTTCTGAACAGTATCTTTTATTCTTTTGCAGCACTGTGTCAAAACAAGTGAAAGTGTCCCTGATAATTCAGCATCTTGGCCTATTTAATAAAAAAAAAAAAAAAAAAAGGAAGAAAGATGGTCAATCACCAAACCAAATCCAAAATATCATAGATGGGAGAAAAATGAAGAAAAATTAGTACCTGATTTGAAGATGGTCACATTCATAGGTGTTATTTTTCATTTTATTTTTAGGAACTCAAAAATTTTACTATTAAACAAATCACTTTCATAATAACAGAAATCAGCACAGAGTATGAGTAATACCACATGGCAGTATTACTATACACAAAGCATGTCGAAGTGAATAAACTCACATATTCAACTCAGTGTTTAAAATTCAGTTTAGGATATTTGCCATTACTTACATCTACACATCCTTACCAGTAAGCAATAGGCCTGGCCTCTGAAACCCAGTATTATACAGATAGAGACCTAGTGAAAGTAGCTGGGGCCCATCCCCAAAGTTTCTGATTCAATAATGGGGACTTGAGAATTTGAACAAGAACAAACTTAGACAATACATAGTAATAGTCATAACAAACATTTATTATGTACCCACTATGAGGCAAGTTTAGCAGTGAAACAGAGTCATCAAAAATCCTCTGGCCAGGGCTAGAGAGATGTCTCTTTCAGAGGACCTGAGTTCAGTTCTCAGCACTTACATGGCAGCCAACAGCTGCCTAGAGTTCCAGGGATCCAACACCATCTTCTGGTTTCCACATGCATTGCACATTGAACTTACACACACACACAGGCAAAGCACTCAAAAACTTTAACGTAAAAAAAAATTTTTTTAATCTTTCTAGTGCTGGGCTTGGTGGTACACACTTTTATTCCCATCACTCAGGAGGCAGAGATGGGCTTGAACTCTGTGAGTTTGAGGTCATCCTGGTCTACATAGCAAGTTTCAGACTAGCCAGGGCTAACAGTGAGATCCTGTCTCAAAAAAAAACCAACTAAACAAACAAACAAACAAACAAAATCCTTCTATTGCAAGATCGAAACAACACAAAATAAAGTAAACGAGACAGTATGACAAAAGATCCATGCTACAGGAAGGAGAGGGAAGGAGGATGGGAAGTGTGTGACCAATCAATTACCACCACCACCACCCCACAAAAAACAAGGATGATGGGCATTATGGACATGGTAGATCTCCCTGAGTGAATGGCATCTAAATGCAGTCATGACCGAAGTGAGGGAACTGGCCACACAGCTATCATGGGGAGTAGAGGAAGCATTCCAGTATAAGGCAACTAAGGTCTGTGGCAGTTGGGTATGGCAGACAATGCCTATAATTAGCACATGGGTGGGCTAAAGCAAGAGGATCATGAATTAGAGGCCAACCTGAGCAGCCCTCTCTCTCACACACACACACACACACACACACACACACACACACACACGCACGCACGCAAGCACGCACAGAGACGGACAGGCAGACAGACACTCTTGGAAGAATCGTTATGAGGCCACTGTGTCTAGAGAGAATTTCTGGCTCAAGAAACAATGGTGTCCTGGTTTTGCAAGGTCTTTTTAGCACTGTAAAGACTGGCTTTTACTCTGTGTGAAAGGGAGAGCCACTGCAAGGTTTTGAGCAGAGAGAGTACCTCCTGACGTTAACATTTTAATATGAGCACTCTGATAGCAGGAGTGAAAGAACAGTTGCAGATCAGTAAACTGGGAAGCTGTGGCAGCAATTCAGATGACAGTTGGCAATGGCCTGGCCTAGGATTTCCTGGCAGGGTAAGAGAAAGAGAAGGCCTCATAGCTGTCTCCAAGGTTTTAGCTTGAGCTACAAAGATGGAGTTGCCGACAATCAAGATGAAAAGTACTAAAAGATGAACATGTCTGAGGCTTAACTGAGGCTCACAAGCTTGAGGTATTGAATAGACATCCCAGCATACATGAGAGCCAACTGGATAAACAAATCTGGAGGTCAAGATCAATGTCAGAACTATAGGTACAAATTTGTGAGGCAATGGCATGTATCTTAAAGATAAGAAACTAAACCAAACCACCACACAGATACAGAGAAGTGGTGAAAGACAGACAGGAAAGGAACTGAAGCACTAACAGGAAAGGAAGATCAGTACTGTAGCAGGGAAAGCTAGTAAAAATGAAGAAACATGTAAAGGTACAGGGAATGAACAACTGATTATACTGCTAAAGTCAAGTAAGATGTGGACTGAGAATTGGCTAGTGGATTTACAACAAGGATGTCATCAGTGACCACAAAAAGTTTCTTTAAAGTTTCAAGGAAAAAATCCTAGAAAGTTGCAAGGACTGTGAAGAGGGAATACAGTAAGTCTGGGTCAGGCAACCACTGAAAGAAGTAAAAAGGTATGCAAACAGAAGGCAGTGCTCAAAAGGAGTCCAGTCCAGTATAGGATGGGCAAAACAGATGCTCCCTTCATCTCTAAATAGACTCGCACAAACTTTAAATCAGGTATTTCCAACTTCTAACATAATCTGTCTAATTTTGTCACTTTGCAACAATAAACTGCTTCAGTGTGAGACATGCCTGGTCTGTTTGTACTACTAAACCTTACCTAACACCACCACAGTGGCCTTACCTCCTCCACAAACCTCTGTCCATTGACTTATTCCCTCTTCTGAATCCCTGATAACTTCTGTTCTCTCCACCATCCTCTGGCATTCTACACTAGTTAACAACGTCTATACATAAGCCCTCATCAATCTCAACTAAACTTAAGCCCTTAAAGTGATACAAAGTTCTAACTGTAAACTACACACTCCACAATCTCACAGGCATAATACCCACAAATATGCAAGACACAGGAACTCCAACTGATGCGAAAGAAGCAAAGGAAGAACAATTAGAAAGCCATACTCAACAACTGATGCTAGCACAAGAGTCATGTGCAAAAGAATCACATCATATATGTAAAGCAACACAAAACAGAATAAAAACCTAAATCTAGAAGCCCAAACTATCAGAACCTTGTAAAAGTTCAGGGGCTGGTGAGCTGGTTCAGCTATTAAGAGCACTGGCTGCTCTTAAAGAGGACCAGAGTTTGGTTCCCAGCACTCACATGGTGGGTAACAAACCTTCAGTAACTCCAGTTCCAAGGGATCCAATGCCCTCTTCTGGCCTCCATAGGCACCGCACTCACATAATGTACTTTCATACACATAAAATAAAAAATCCGAAAAATTTCTTAAAAAAGAAAACAAGTTTATTCTGGATCTTGGATTCGCCACTGGCTTCTTAAATGACCTCAAAGGCACAAGCGACCAAGGAAAAAATAATTAAGTCAGACTTCATTAAAAACTTCTGGCCGGGCATGGTGGCAGAGGCCTTTAATCCCAGCACTCGGGAGGTAGAGGCAGGTGGACAGCCTGGTCTACATAGTAAGTTCCAGGACAGCTGGGGCTACAGGAAGACCCTGTCTCAAGAAGACCAAAACAAACAAACAAACAAACAAACAAACAAACAAACAAACACTTCTGGGCTGGGCAAGCCTGCAATCCCAGCCCGTGGGAGGTGAAAGCAGGAGGACCAACAGCTCAAAGTCAAGCTTTGGCTACAGGAAATCCTGTCTCAAAAAGCAGGAGAAAATGAAACAACAAAAAAGAAAACTAAAACAAAAACTTTGTGCACCATCAACACTATCATAAAAAGCAAACCCAATTCTTAGAACAAGAGAAAATATTTGCAAATCACATTCTTACTGTAATTTTTTTAAAAAAGACTCCAATAAAAACAAAGCTTAATTTATAGGAAAACATCACACATAGAATATATGAAGATGGGGATAGAACTCAGCAATGGGGCACCTGCCTAGCATTTACGAAGCCATGGGTTCAATTCCCAATAAATAGTAATAATAAGATAAAAACACTTCCGACTCAACAATAGTATGACAATTTAGTTTTTAACAGGCAGAAGGGGTCTAGGGAGATGGCTTAGTCAAGTGTTACTACACAGCATGAAGACCTGAGTTCAGATCCCCACCACCCACATTAAAAGCTGACACAGCAACCCACTCCTATAATCCAGCAGAGCATGCCTGTGATCCCAGTGCTGGGAATGTAGACAGAAGAGGGTCCTGGGGCTTGCTGGCTGACCAGACTAGCTACGTCTGTAAGCTCCAGGTTTAGTCAAAGACCTGGGACAGTCATATGCTACAAATTAATGGTTTGGTCAACAATGGGCCACATATATGATGGGCTATCCCATACAGCTTAAGTGTTTAGGGGGTTACACCATCTCAGTTTGTGTAGGTACACTATAATGTTTGTACAACAAACTGCCTAGCATAACAGGGCATTTCTTAGAACATGCTTCTGTTGTTAAGCAATGCCTATCTGGAAGCTCAAGAAAAATAATGGAATAATCTGAAAGAGAACCCTGGGAAAGCCCTGTTCAGACAGAAGGACACTACTAATGCCTTTTCAAATGGATTCAGTGGAAAGCAGCCAAAGGCAAAAGTCAGGCTTGAAAACCAGTAAAATGACCAGACTGACTGTGATTTGACCAAACTTCTAGGTCATAATGGGAGAATCCTTATGTTCTCCCAGTCTTTCCATGAAAACACAACCTGCTTCCAGAAGAACCTTCTCATCAAAGAAATCTAATTAGATTTACTTCCTAGATATAAAATGGAAATTAGCAAGACAACTGCCTTCACTATAACTACAGTAGACCCCAGCTGGCCACTTGTCACCAGGATAAAATCCTGGGTCTACTGTGTCTTTTCAATATGATAAACTCCCTGGATCCCATATGCACAACTGAGGCACTGTCATTCCTAACAGTCACAAGTACATTCTAAGGTCACTTTTATCATGACTTTATTAAACAATCATGAGCATTAGCATGTTAAAACCAAGCAAAGCACCAACACATGTGATTTGTTAAGCTAAAAAATCATTTCCTTGGGCTAGACAGATGGCTCAGCGGTTAAGAGCACTGGAAGCTCTCGCAAAGGGCCCAAGTTCAATTCCCAGCACCCACAGGGCAACAAACAACGATCTATAACTCCAGGTCCAGGGGATCCAACGCCTCTTCTGA